ATCTTCAAATATGAGTGCTTCTTCAAATTTTAATTACTGCACAACATTAAGAATCCAACAACACTTGCAATTTTCCAATTTGCAATATGAACAATTAGTTCAAGCAAATGGCTCAACATAAGTCTAGCTCACATCGGTACAGGCATGCAGAAAGAAATGGAAGGAATGCATGGTCTAGTGGTGAGCATGTTGCTACACAAATGTGTTGCGCCATTGAACCACATATTCCTTACTCTTCTCTCTATAATCTTATACTCAATAATCTGCAGTTTTTTTGTCAGATATGTTTCCCATATTGGCTCAGGTTGCTGAGATTATTTATCACATTCCTATTGCTGCCATGAATGACATTCACTAACTCAAAATAAGATAGAATTAAGTCAATCATCATGGTCTGTGCTGTGAACATCACACATTGTGCATTTGAGACACTGAATCAATTGGAGGGATGATATAAATAAAGTAATAGCTACATGACTCCTGACAACTTCCACTTTGAAGAATTATGAAACAGATATTAAATGGAGCAATTTTAACCTAATTCATTACACAGAAAACCCATTGGATTGGGTGGAGTATCAAATATACATCCTGCCCAATATCACTGTCAATTGACTTCAGTAGAGATTAAAATCAGGTGGGATTTAAAACCAGTGGTGCAACTGATACTGCACTCTCCCCAATGTGCAGGTTAGGTAAAATCTGATTGTTTGGATTTGGAAAAGATTTGAGGAGTTTATGTTATGACAAATATATTGTGAAACTTTCATTACTGGACAATTAAATTAATATTCTTTCAATCCACAGAACAATGTGTAGCAGCCGTGAAACTATTTATTTAAATAGAATGTTTTCCTTTTGGTATCTGTTTACTAGAGGCCACAAGAATTGAATGGAGAGGAGGGCATGGTTTTAAAAAATGTTTACTAACAGGATAGTATGCCTGGTTGTGAGCAGTTCTGGAAGTATAGCATTCCGATTCAAACTGTGTGCTCCATCTTGATTAAATATACTTCACATGAATACCCATTACGAGATCAATGTCATGCTTTGTAAGAAGGCATATATAATTTTCAACCTACTGACTTCTGTAAAAAAAAAAGTTGCTTTCATTTTTTTATGGAGCAGACAGTACATGTAAAGACATGTACTTATTATTTACCACACAAATTCCACCACAACCTACTCACATGGTTCACTGCCCAGAAATGTGTTTATCCTAATCCTGGCATGTTACTGTAAAATAAAATTCTTTAACAAGCTTCAATGCTCTTAAGATGTTTGGAGGGTAAACTTTACAATAGCAATTGGTGCACTGAGAACTTGCTTACAGACAAACAGTATTTTTATAATATTGTGTAATAAGCCAGTACACTGTGAGAAAAAAAATACACTGATAATTCTAGTTACATCCCTTCCATTGACACGGCTTAAAGGAGTGAGTAGGAGTGACCTTATTAGGAATTTGTTATTGCAAAAAATTCCTTTCTGAAAGCAGCTGTTTTTGTTGATGAAATATATCCCTGAGGCCCATGGATACTTACTGCAAATACAAATGATGTGATTCCTCTGAGTAAACAAAAATGCCCCAAACAGGGTGCAGAGGGAGTTGTCTAATGTTATAGGTAAGATGGAACATTTCACTAAGTAATACTGTATGGAATTGTCAACCACAACAACACTGGCATGTGCTGGAAACAGGTATCTTTGAACTTGATTTCCCCAGGAACTAATAAATTACATGAAGCTGCAAGAATAAATTTGCACTTTGAATTTCATTTTTAATCATAAGATTCTGTTGCCCACTCAACTGGATTAGGAACAATTGCTGAAACTAACTCGGTTTATTGATACTGTGCAATTCATTTATGAAAGATTATTTGATGTTGCACTGTTTTGTCTGCAATAAATAACTGTCCATTCAGAACCAAGGAACAATCTGTAAATAAGGACTCAGTGGGGGAGGGGGAGTTTAGAATAGGAAGATTCAGCTGTGGAGATCTGAGAGTTAGAAAGAATCTTTACTATATGTTGAGCAAATTAATGCCTGTGTAACTGATATAGCTGGGCAAACAAAGACACATTACAATTAATACACTGATTAGAACACACGCAGCTACCTACCTGCACTCACTATCACCATCCCACCTACCTTCCTCAGCCCCACCCCTCCTCTCTATTTATTTCAGAGCTCCCTTCCCCTTCCCCATTTCTGAAGAAGGGTCCTGATCCGAAATGTCAACTTTCCTGCTCCTCTGATGCTGCCTGGCCTGCTGTGTTTCTCCAGCTCTACATTGTGTTATCTCTAGCTTCTCTACCTTATCTATTGGCTGATAAATGGTATGCGGTACCATTTTCGGATTGTGCGATGGAATCTTATGATGGTCTGAGTGATGTGGGCTACAGTGAGATTTGTGGCAGAATCAGGCCAGAAGTTCGGTTTCTTTTATTCATTCATGGGACGAGGGCATCGCTGGCTAGGCAGCATTTATTGTCCATCTCTAATTGCCCAGAGGGCAGTTAAGAGTCAACCACATTGCTGTGGGTCTGGAGTCACATATAGGCCAGACCAGGTAAGGATGGCAGTTTCCTTCCCTGAAGGACATTAGTGAACCAGATGGGTTTTTCCTGACAATCGGCAATCATGGTCATCATTAGATCCTTAATTCCAGATATTTATTGAATTCAAATTTCACCATCTGCCATGGCGGGATTCGAACCAGGGTCCCCAGAGCATTATCTGGGTCTCTGGATTAACAGTCCAGCAATAATACCACTAGGCCATCGCCTCCCCTCCTCCAGTTAGGCCTATCTCAATGTCGGGAGTATCTTGCTTTATCTTTCCTGCTTTTCACAAATGGCATTGCATCACTAGCAAGTGCAAGATGCCAATTGATAAGATTTAATGCATGTTAAATGCCTTATTAACACCACAATTCGCATCATTCATAATCAGCCTCCCAAATGGCCAAACTCAACAAGGAAACCAGAATGTGTCCCTGGTCGATTCCACTCACTGCATTCTCCAAACAGCCTTTATGATGCCTGCGATTAAACCATAGCCCAGGGCACAATCAAAGGGCACCATGCACCCATCTTCCATAGACATTGGCAATTGGCATCTGTGAACCCATCTTAACCATCATGGTACTTTTAATTCACACTGGCAGTGCACTCTGGAAGCATAGATCTGCATTGCAGGGCACACCAGCAACTAACATTGAAAGGCTGCTGCAAAGATACTTTGCACACGGGGCAGGCAGTTAGCTTACAGGCTGTACTAGACTGCATCCCCAGGATAGTCATTTACTCTCTTAGCACTCGCTCATTTAGTGCTTACTTGCATGCTAATAGCATACTTGCTTTGCCTTACTGTGCCATACCTGTTTACAGCTTGCTTTGCTGCTCAGCAGTCCTCAGCTGAGTGGTTGGAACATCTTACAGTATGGCAGCGTGCTATATCAATCTCATAACCGCACAGCTGCAGCTCGAGCCAACAGCTTATGCAGCAAACATACTGCATGTGCAGCAAGCAAGGAGCCACATCTCAAAGTCTTCGGGCAGTAGTCTGCACCAAAGTCCTGGAGGCAGCTGTTGATTGGGGGTCCCAGAACTATAGGGCAGCCTCCCATACTAATCCAGGGGATAGGTCACAATCAGGCAGCCGGTGGGGGTATTCCCAATTTAGGGGGTCTGTGCCTCTGCATTTCAGGAAGTAAATCACACTTTGTTCATTGACTCCATAAGCACAAGGCTGGGGGGTCACGGCCTATGCAATTGGGGAGATGTATAGGGTCAAGTCAGGGGTCAGGAGGCTTGGGCACATATTTCCCAGGGTATTTCCCAGGGTTGTCCAGTCATGTTGGTCACAGGGGTGGGCCACAGATCTGACACAAATGGAGCAGATGGAAAGGGGCAAAAGGGATTGAGCCTCAGCAGTTTAATCTTCAGGATACATGACTGCAATTCCCTGGAAGCTACGTGGCTGCACCTGTATGCAACCACTCCAAATTTCCACCAGCAGCGATTGGCATCAGCATGCTGATCGTGACATTGACTTCTGGTTCCAGAAGCCACAGCCATGCGTGGGTCTTGGAAGCCTGTGCAGCCGGAAAGAAGATTAGAATGAACATTGGATTCTGGAACTGAAGTATGCAGTGCAATCGTGAAGAGTGGGCAGCTGGATTTGCAGGTGAGGGACATGATAAAGCATAGCTGAGAATGGTGTAATGTAGAAGTGGTGGGTAGGCTGTCTATGGTTAGGAGCACCCTGCCTTCAAGGGGGGTGCAGTGAATGACCACACCATGGCCATCTTACATGGGAAGGATAGGCAGGTGTTGATGCACGTGGATGGGTTGGCTAGGCATTTGCAGAAGTGTAAAGTCTGTGGGCTTAATGGAATGGATTATCAGGAAGTGGATGTCTGGGGATCACAGACTTGTTTAGGTTGAGGGTGGAAGCTACTCGGAGATGAGTGCTCACTGTCACCTTCCATCTTGCTGGAAAGCAAAGTGTGCAGTGGGGAAGAAAATGGCTCTGAGCACACTTGGAGTCAGTGGGGTAAGTAACTCAACCTGTAAGGGATGGGAGTGCAGGAAGCACCAATCATAGGGTTTTTAAAGGATAAGAACATTGGTCACTGACCCATGCAATGTACAGGACACAGGCACACAGAGTGCCTGATCTCTGGCCAGCCTGCATCGTTAATCTTCTCTGTATGCCGTACCTTACTGGCACAGCTACTGCTGGACAACCTTGACAGCTACATCTTTGTACATAGTGGGAGCCAAACATTAGGGATGTTGAATGAGGAGGGCCAATGGTGTCACCATAAACCAATGCCACACGTAAGCATTGTTCTCCCTGATTCGAGATGGTACAGTAGACCTCTCAATATAGACCTCCACCCGCTGAACCTTGACTGTGGCCATGAAGTGCTGCCCAATGGTGTGAAAATACATTTAGCACCTACCCAGAGAGACTCACAACCACATGACAGTGAAAATCTGGAACATTTATGCAGAAACTAAGGGTGACACACAAGCCTTTTTCATCCATGCCACCACAGTACCCTTAAGAGGTTTTCTTCACTTGTTCCCTGCCACTACATCTTAGTATTGTCCCTGATTCTGCAGCTGGGTTGGAGGAAGCCCGCTTGGCAGTTGAGCTCATTAGCCTTAGAGTAGCCCAATGGACATGTGTCTGGACAGACCAGACTTGTAGAGGGCAGGAAGGTGACCATCCTTGGTTTGAATGTCCAAGAGTTGCAATGGGGGAGGGAGGTTGTTGGGAGGAGGGAGCTTAGAGGGGGGAGGCAGGGTGGACATGGAGAGCCCAGCCACTTGTGTGTTTCCTGAGTGGAAGGTGTAGAAGGGCCTGTATGTGGTTCCACCTCTGGTTCGGTGCGTCCTGGCACTATCCTGTCTTTTTATGAGTCCTGAGGATCAATGGCTGGGATGGCAGACTGCCTGTCTACAGGTCCTTCCAACAGCCCTGAGAGTCCTGGACCTGGCTCTCCATTGCAGCCACCAAACTGTTTATGGAGGCAGCTAGAAAGGATTCACTGCATTGATGCAGATTCTGGTCATTGCATCTGATATGCCTGTCTGTCACTAATGCTCCTCTCTGTACATTTGGATGAAGTCCCTGACTGCCAGCACCACAATGCCCTTTTCTGCCTGGTCTCCGGTTGTAATCTGAGTGCCAGCTGCCTGGCTGTTTCTTCCTTCACCAGCTGTGGAACTGTCACAATGAGGTGCTCACCATATTGTGTAGCGTCACTCTCTATGTCAATGATTTCCCCCTGAAATGCAAGTATCTGCACTGGTGGCAGCTACAGGAGGCAGCGTTGCTGATCCTTCCTTGAGGCCTTAGCACTCTTATCCTCAGAAATCCAGGAGAATGCTTCTGAAGGAGCTGAGCGTTTCTCCATAAAGGTCATGGCGAGGCTAGGGGACTTTCCAGGGAAAAGAAAGAGGAGGCATTGTGGCTTGTGGTTATAATTGATTTGCAATAATTGGGAGTGACAGTGGAATTCAAATGCAAGTTGCTGTGGAAGTTATTTGTTTGGTGAAATTTGGATGCCTCATCATCCCCACAGGAGCAGTCCTCATCTTCTCCTTCCAAGACTAGGATTTCCTCCTTGTAGAGGGCGAGGTCAACGATTTGCCATGTTATGGGCTGTCTTCTCCTGTAATGAAAGAAAAGAAGGGAGTGGAATGAGTGAGATAACAGTGAGTGCATGGATGTTAGTGCTGGTGCATGTGGGAGAAAGATGTGAAATGGGCTGAAGGACAGAGGAAGCAGCACAGAGAGTGTGTACGTTAGTAATATGGGAAGTTGGGGGGTGGTGGACAGTGAGTGACAGAAGGTGGTGCACACAACAGTGAAGGTGGCAGAGTATGATACTTGGCTGCGTGCAGTTGCATAGATGGAGTAAGTGTGAGATGTCAAAGTGACAAGTGTGGCAGAGCAGAGAAAGTCGTTGACCTTCTTTCTGTAATGCTGGTTGTTCATCTACACCGTGGAGATAGGACTGACCTGGTGGTGGCAGGGTCTGTGGTGTGGCCTCCTCTGCCACTCCTCCAGGAGCAGAGCATCTCTCCTTTGGACCACCAAATCACCAGGACCTCCGGGTCCCTGTGCAGAAATGCGGTGCCACCTTCCCCTTGTCCAACATGCTCAAACTCTATCCTTGACCGGGCAGGGTAGCTACAGAATGCCAGTGCTTATCCAGGTGCGCAACAGGCTTTCAAAGATGGCATACATGCAAGGGAAGCTGGAGTTTTAATTGATATCCACTGCATGGTGATTTATTATCGGAATGGTATGTGGTAAAATGGGACAGAAGTTGGATGTGAGAGATGCCATGGGGTGGGTAGGTAATTATTAAGGTGAGTTTGGTATGATAGGGCAAGAAAATCCACAAAGCTTTATGGCTCAAAATCCTCCAGAAAAATAAAATAACTTGGACTTTGCAAAAAAAAGCATAAGATTTAGCTCATCGCATCTAGCAATATACCTTTGATTCATACAATGTCAAGACTGTCAAAGTTTTGTTTTGGCTACTGTGCAAATTAGTGTCAGCAGTAATGAGACAACCTTCAATGTTTTTCTCTGACAGAGACTCAGATGTTTTCCTGCGGGAACTTGAGGAGTAATCCAGCTTTTCTTAAACTCACAAGAAAAAAAATGTACCTTTTATAACTGCTTTTGAGGTTGATTCTTTTCTGACCTGATCCAATCAGCTGGGAAAGCTACAATAGCTTCCCTGCTCATAGATGACTTAGAATGAGGTCCCAGTGAAGTGAGTATATAAAGAGGGAAGCCACTAGTTTATGCAGGTGACCCTACCACCTTCCGAGAGCACTAGTTAAAATCTTGGGTGGCAGGTTCCTGCTAGCTTTCTGGCAAAAGAGTAATCTGGACAGTTTTGACTGCTTAACTGTTTAGCTTTTGACAAGCAAGTAGGGTTACAAATGCCTCAGAAATGTATGTATGTCATGAGTTATTTTTTGTGTAAAGGGTTTGTAATGATGATGTGCATGTTTGGTTGCATTTTGAAAATCCAGTTGACAAAGCTATAGCAATCTAGACACAGACTTTCTTTTAGTTAGCGTGTCACTGTAGGAAAATTCGAGGATCCAAGCCTATCTCAGTTTATTTAGGACATTGATATTGTCCACATGATATTATTCATCTTGTCCTTCTTGGTAGAATTGGTAACAAGATTGGAAAATGAATTCAAATTAAAATTGGGGATTTACTGCCATAAGTGCTGATCTCCATTGAGATCATAACTTCTCAAAAAAAAATTTGGAACACTAGCTAATAGCTGCATAAATAATCAACAAGATGTCACATTTTAAGACTTTTACCATAACAAAACAGTATTGACCAGAAGATAGTAAGAACTGCCGATTCTGGAGTCAGAGATAACAGTGTGGAGCTGGAGGAGCACAGCAGGCCAGGCAGCATCAGAGGAGCAGGAAAGTTGACGTTTCTGGTCGGGACCCTTCTTCAGAAAAAAAATTGACTAAATTGCCTAAATCTTAATTGTGTAGGAAGAACCACAAAACAGATCATTTGTTTTCCCTTTAGCACAATCAAAACACACCTCATAGATTTGCACTGTCCTGAAGGTATTCATTCAAATCTTTTAAAACCAGTCTAAGGTGATTCTTAGCTCCGAAGAATTTACTTCTGTTCTTTTTCTTTCTTAGCCTGGGAATTTTTAAACTCAGAACTACAGATTAGAACCAAATTGCACATCCTGGAGAAGACAATTCTTGAGGTACAGAATAGCTTCTAAACTGAATAGTATGGCAGTTTTGCACCACTAAATACATTTCTGTACACATTTGGGATTATAACATAGCAGATTACATTATTGGTCACTGAAAGCTAGATGAAACATCAGACAAATTTAAAGAAATATTGAAAGCTGTTGATAATTATTTCAAACCCAGAACTAATACTATTCTTGAAAGTATAACATTTAACGAAAGAATCCAGCATTCAGGAGATTCAGTAGATGATCGCATTAATAATCTCTATAGGCTACTGGGGAGATGGAACAATGATGACATAAAGTCAGAAGTCATAAGAAGCCAGCTTGACTCATTAGTAATGTATGCAACATCATCAGATTTATTAAAGTCCGAAGAAGACCTAACTTTCAAGAAAGCCATTCAGACAATGAATGAAGCAAAGGTTCAAAAGTAAGATGAATCAATCCTAAAAGAAGATAAAATTTGCAAAAGAGATCTACAGGTCTACAATTCATTTATTAAGGTACAAAACCACAAAAGACACACTGTATAAGCCAATCCAGTGAGTAGGATAGACACCAGACAACAAAAGTCCTTGGAAATGTCATGGCACAATGAAAGCTCATTGACATGAACATTGCTCAGCTGTTAACACTGTAGTTTTTTTTATAGTAAGAAAGTCTGTCATGTTCAGAAAAAGTGCCAAAGCAAAACGCAGACAGAGAAAACAAACAAATGAAAAAAATATCTACATGAAGAGATAAATGAGATAGAACAGTTTCCATTGAAGATAAACCCAGAGCTCTCTTGGAGAAATCAGTGATCCAGACCAAATATTTTCATAGAATCCCTACAGTGTGGAAACAGGCCCTTCAGCCCAACAAGACCACACTGACCCTCAGAACATCCCATCCAGACCCATCCCCCTAATCTACACATCCCTGAACACCATGGACAACTTAGCATGGCCAATCCACCTAACCTGCACATCTTTGGACTGTGGGAGGCAACTGGAGCACCCAGAGGAAACCCACGCAGACACGGGGAGAACGTGCAAACTCTGCACAGACAGTCACCCAAGGGTGAAATTGAACCTGGGTTCCCGGCGCCGTGAGGCAGCAGTGCTAACCACTGAGCCACTGTGCCGCCCTAGCATGCACTTATTTATGTGAATGGTTAACTCATGAACTTTAAGTTAGACATAGAACAAATTGTCACAGTATTGTTAGATAGACAGCCTTTGTTGACAAAATACTGCATACAGCTGTCAGACATTCAGCTACATGGTCCAGAGGTCATCACATCTAATATTAAAAGTATGCTACTAGCAATGCTCAAACATAGGAGCGACAAAATGCTAGAAACATTTTACACATTTCACAACCAAACCAATGGTCATATATTATCCCCAGTCCCATTCATGAGGTGGAAGAGGTTAAATCACAAAAGGTCAAGGAGAAACAGGTAGGAAATCCTGCAGGGTGTGGTAAGGTCATGGCAGAATCTATGCACAAAGAAAAATCTCCTGAGATTAGTTACTTAGAATAAAAAAAAGTGTTTTGTACCATAAATGGGATAGACAGCTGTGACTGTAATGGTTTGTTTGAAATGTTTTTCACTGCTATAAAAACAAAAGGAAGTTAAAGGTGCCTTTTTTCTCTTGTGGATGTGGGCATTTCTGATGTTTCTCATTTATTGCCCATCCCGAGTTGCTCTTGAAAAGGTGGTGCCTTCTTAATCGGCTTCAGTCAGAGCTGGGGGGCTTTTCTTTAAAAAAAACATAGGAATGCAGAAACTAGGAGCAAAACAAAAGTGGGATGGTGTTGTGATTAAGGGTTATAAATTTCATGCAATGAGTGACACAGACAGTGGGGTTCATATAAGAACAGCACTGGAATAAAGAGTGATACTTGGTTGGCAGGATAGGGATATCGTCTCCTACTAAGGCTAGGAATCACTCCTCATAGGAAGGAAGGACATCCCTTTCTCCATCCAGGTCCTTTTTGCCCTATTATGGATTGTTTTCTCCTGTGTCAAGAAAAAAGGAGTGAGTGAGTGAATGAGTGAGATAAAAGTGGGTGACACAACTGTTAGTGCTGGTGCACGTGAAGCAGAGGTGCTTAGGTCTACCAGGTGAGTGAGTAGGCATCACAGAGGACATGCAGGGTTAGGCATATGGCAGTTTGGGTGGGTGGGGCAAATGGGGGAAGATGGTACATGCAACAGTAGAGCATGAGCCTTGATGGGAACTGGGTGCAGTAGTAGGGATACAGTGAGTATGAGGTAATGGAGGAAAGATGGTGGCACTTACCTTGGCGTGGCACTTACCTTGGCAGAGCGGTGAAGTCATTGACCTTCTTATGGAACTGTTGTGCATTTCTCTATACCGTGGAAACCATACTGATCCTGGTGGCAACTTCAGAGCAGATTAGCATGGTCTGATGGCATGCTCCTGGGGGAAGAGAGGGGTTATCCAAAGTCCCTGTTCTCAAAACAAGGTGGCAATTTTCACCTGTTTGCCATGTCTGGGGAGAAGGTAATGAATTGTGCTGGGCAGCTTCAGAATGCCAGTGCTCTTTCTGGGTGTGCAATGACATTTTAAAGGTGGCATCAGTGCCAGTGATGCCAGTCCATTCTCGTGAGTGGTGAAAACGTCCTGCCATGGTGAGTGAGAGAATAAGGTTAGCGCTGGACAAGCTGGGCACTATAGAGGCATCGTAAATTGTTAACAAGGCATTCTTGGGATAATAAAATGAGAAATTTCGTTCGGTATCACAGAAAAGAAACCTCTGTGGAACTTGACAAAATTCACTGAGTCAAAAAATTGTAAGATTCAGCCGATAGCAACATAGGAAAATAGGAGTAGGGTGGGCCATTCAGCCCATTAAGTCCACTTTATCATTCAACATGATCACAACTCGTTGTCTATGTCAATGCCATCCTACTGCACTTTTTCCCAAACCCCTTGACACCTTTAGCTTTGAAAAGTGTATCTATTCCTTTCTTAAATATATTCAGTGACTTCTGTGGTAGAGAATTCCACCGGTTCATCACCCTGTCAGTGAGGAAATTTCTCTTCATTTCAGTTCAATGTAATGTTGCAACTGTACAGTACATTGGTAAGGCCATTTTTAGAGTATTGTGTTCAATTCTGGTCTCCCTGCTATAGGAAAGATATCATTAAACTTGAAAGGGTTTCGAAAAGATTTACGAGGATGTTGCGAGGGTTGGAGAGTTTGATCTATAGGGAGAGGCTGAATAGGCTGTGTTTTTTATCCCTGGAGCATCAGATGCTGATAATGATTTATAAAATCATGAAGGGCATGGAGAGGGTGAATAGCCAAGTTCTTTTTCCCAGGTTAAGGGAACCCAAAACTAGAGGGCATAGGTTTAAGGTGAGAGGGGAAAGATTTAAAGGGACTTGAGTGGTAACTTTTTCTTCCAGAGTGTGTTGTGTGTATGGAACGAGCTGCCAGAGGAGGTAGGTACAATTGCAACATATAAAAGGCACCTGGATGGGTACATGAATAGGAAGGGATATGGGATCTTAGAGGGATATGGGCCAAATGCTGGCAAATGGAACTAGATCAGTTTAGGATATCTAGTCAGTATGGATGAGTCGGACTGAAGGGTCTGTTTCTGTGCTGTATAACTCTATGACTCTAAGATAGTCTACCATATATCCTGACACTGTGACCCCTAATTCTGGACCCCATGCCCAGGGAACCATTATCCTTGCATACAGTCTGTCCAGCCCTGACATACTCTTATGAGATCCCCTGTTATCCTTTTATACTCCAGTGAACGCAGGCTTAGTGAGCCAATCTCTCCACATATGGCTAGTCAGCCATCCCAGGTGTCAGACCAATGAACCTCACTGTACTCCCTCTGTGGCAAATATAATTTATCTTAGGTAAGGAAAGCGAAACTGTACACAGTGACCCAGGTATGGTTTCTCTAAGGCCCGGTACAGCAGAATAAAATACTTCCTTGCTCCTGTGCTTAATTTATCTTACAATTATGGCTAACATACCGTTTACCTTCTTAACTCATGGAGCAGCATGAGGGGAACGAGACCTGGAGCAGCGCGAGGGGAACGAGACCTGGAGCAGCGCGAGGGGAACGAGACCTGGAGCAGCGCGAGGGGAACGAGACCTGCAGCAGTGAGAGGGGAACGAGACCTGGAGCAGCAGGAGGGGAACGAGACCTGGAGTAGCGCGAGGGGAACGAGACCTGGTGCAGCGCGAGGGGAACGAGACCTGGAGCAGCGCGAGGGGAACGAGAC